GGGGAAGGCCTTGGCCTCTGTGCCCTGTTGTTGGCCCTCCAGTGGAACTGTTTTGTTGTTGTGTGAGACAGGATGCTGGACTAGATGGACCCTCACTGGTCTGACCCAGCAGGGCTCTTCTGATGTTCTTATCAGGGGAAGGCCTCAGCCTCTCTGCCCTGTTTTTGGCCCTCCAGAGGAACTGGTTGGCCACTGTGTCAGATAGGATACTGGACTGGATGGACCCTAACTGGTCTGACCCAGCAGAACTCTTCTGATGTTCTTATGAAGGCCTCTGCTTCTCTGCCCTGTTGTTGGCCCTCCAGAGGAACTGGTTCATTGTTGTGTGAGACAGGATGCTGGACTAGATGGACTCTTCTGATGTTCTTATGTGAAGGCCTCAGCCTCTATGCCTTGTTGTTGGCCCTCTAGAGGAACTGTCTCCTTCGTGAGACAGGATGCTGGACCAAATGGACCCCCTTTGTGAGATAGGATGATGGACCAAATGGACCTTCACTGGTCTGATCCAGCAGGGCTCTACTCATGTTCTCGTGTCTGTCTTTTCCCCAGCCTTGGGCAAAGATTAGCCCCTGTGTCCTTCTCTCTTTTTTGAACAGGGACATCATGCTCTTGTGGAGGGGGGGGTGGATCAAAGAAGTTGCTCTGTTGGGGATATAAATTGCTGCAGTCCCCTATTGGGGCCGAGGGTGTGCTCTGCCTTTGTGGTGTGTTTTGAAGGGTGGTGCGGAATTCCTTCACAAGGCTTCAAAGCGCCCTTCAGATTATCAAGGGCTGACGGGGAGGCGTTGGCAGCTGCCTTTCTTCTGTGGAGAGCTTTTTTGTACAGGCTGGAGTTCCCCCTCAAAGGCAGCTTGACGTCTCACTTCCCTAATTAGGGCCAGGGAAATTTTTCCACCCGTGCTGGAAGTTTCACAGGTTTGCAGCAGGGAGCGAGGATTCCTGCAGATATGTCGGGTGGTGCGGGGAGCTAGGGAGAGGCAGCTTTTGTCCTCGATTCTGCTGCTCTCTTCGGGTGAACAGTGGGTGCTCAACCCCAGCAAGTGGCAGGTTGCAACCGATGCTCCCTCTAAGCTATGGAGTCTCGCGAGCAAAAATTCTACTATGTGTGCCACTGGGCATTAAAGTTGTGAGTGAGTGATTTGGCTGCTGCAGAAATTAGTCTGCTCCGGAGCACTCCTTCCTGAGCGAAGACAAAAATGTGTGAGCTGGAGGCTAAAAAACTGTGAGCTGGCTCACACTAATTCAGCTTAGAGGGAACACCGGTTGCAACCAATGTTCCCTCTAAGCTGTGGAGTCTTGTGAGCAAAAATTCTACTTTGTGAGCAACTGGCATTAACGTTGTGAGCAAGAGATTTGGCTGCTGGATAAACTAGTTTGCTCTGGAGCCATCCTTCCTGAGCGAAGACGAAAATGTGTGAGCTAGAGGCTAAAAAACTGTGAGCTAGCTCACACTAACTCAGCTTAGAGGGAACACTGGTTGCAACTACTCCTCCCTCTGCTGATACACCCTTGTTTCATTGGGAAGAGCACTGATGCGTGAAGCCTGACCCAGGAAGTTTGGCTGTCCATACAGTCCCAGAAAAGCATCCCAGAATCCCTTGCAGCTTTGGAGAGAGTTGGCAGTCGTTGGAGGAACCCTAACCCAGTCCCAGCCGCTGGCATCAGACAGTGGAACTGCCACTGGAAGTGTGTGTGGCGCCATCCCTGTGGGCCTTCCCGACTGAACATTTCCCCCTGTGTTTCAAAAATAGTGAAGAGATAGTATATTCTCCCAAGAATAGTGGGATTCTCCCAAGTGTATTCTTCCAAGTGTATTCTCCCAAG